CATTGGAGGGTCAGACTGCGGGCCCCAGGACAGGTCGGATGCTAAGCAGGACAGACAGCAGTGGCAAAAACACCTGGCGGGCCAGATAAATGTCCTAGGCAGGCCGCATGTGGCCAGTGGGCTGGCCATAGTTTGAGGACGCTTGTCTTAGAGAAACCCAGCAGCCCCTGACAGAAGGAACCCTCATGCTCCACCCCTGAAGGAATGCTTACCGCACAGACGACAGAACTGAGGTCCAGAGGACAAATGTTATTTTCCAAGATCCTGAAGCAAGTTCACAGCAAAACTTGGACTAGGACCTACGTCTTATTCCTGTCAGTTTCCTTAGTGCACTTTCTGCTGCAGCCCTCAATTTGTGTTTGTTAATTTAAGCATGGTACCTGAATATGAAGTGGGGAGAGAACAAATGGCCTTTTTGCCCCTTGAAAATGGGGGTAAAATTTTCTTAAAACTGTGATCCTATTATTTTTGTAGCCAGAGCCTCTTTTAAAAGCGTTTCTTCAACTCTAAGGTACAGGAGGTGGGTAACGTTCTCTTGGCTGTTTGTTTTGAGGAGGAGCTTTTCCACCTCTCCACACCACATGGCCATAGCCTTGCAGATTCAACCACATTTCATAAAAACCACCCTATCATGTTGTGCATCTCCTACCACAGATGAAAGGGAGCTTATATTACTTACATAATTTTAAAATGGCTTCTACATTATGCATCAACCTCTTTCATTGGCAACTTTATCTAGAAGTTGTTTAGAGATCAAAAGTTGAGATGAATACACCCAACTTTCATCACTGGCACTACTCAGCAACTTGTAGTGACTACAGATATCATTTAAGAGGCCCTACTGTATTTGCCAGAGAAACTGAGGCCTAGGGAATCTCCTCCCGGGAAACCAGTGATCTCTGTAAAAATCAATCTAGCAGCCACTGAAAATGGTATCTTATTTTTAAGATTTGTGCTAAATTTCTACAAAATCAGTTTCAACATCATTACTCTAATATCCATTTTATCAAAATCTGTCTAAGTGTCCACAAAGTGTCAGGTGGAGTACAAACTGAGTTGTAGTCACAGAGTCTCTAATCATTAGGATTATTGTGTAAATACCCACTTACCCTTTTTTTCCACTTAAATACATCAATCAAGCCACCAAATGACACTGCCCGACCGGCAGGCGGTGTCGGAGAGTTCGTGATCGTATGAGAGGGAGAAGGAAAGGGAAAGGGTGGACACAATCACACAACCACTCATACAGTATAGGAAGAAGGCTGAGCCGAAGCTGTTTATTTGGGATCGCTACAATCTTATATAGGGTTAGTTGAGGGGGAGTGGTTACTTCATGAAGCTGAATCTATATAAGGCTAGGAATGTAGTCTTTGGCCTATGATAGGTTTAAAATGTGAGGGGAGGGTGGAGGGGTTATGCTGTCCTGAGGGGAGGGGCCCTGCGCTGTGCTCTGCGTTTCCGTCTAAGTCTTGTACAATGTAGCTAGTTCTATCCGGTTTTCTTACCAGTACTGGTCTCTTTATCCGGCCTTTTCACATGGGGGTTGAATTAGGCTAGCACTTCCTCTTACAATGTAGTTTAATATTTCTGTTAACCCTTACAACCAAACACCACACATAAAACAAAGCTACAAAGCTACTTCTCTGATTCATACTTGAAATCTTTGTTGGGAATAAATATCCTAGGCATCAGTATCATGTTATACATGTTTATAGAAAGTGTATGAAACCAGAGGAAGGAGAAATTTTACTATTACTAAACAGACATATATTAGGGCTATTTTGTAAGAAAAAAAATCCAATAATATTAACATAAATTCGTAAGTCCTTGAATGAAGTAAAGAAAGCATGAGACAGAGACCATTGACTTAACAAATTAATGACTTTATTAAGAGAGGACAAGATTGGTGTTTACCTTGGTCAAACCATACAGGAAAACAAAGCACATAGACGTATACAATACTTTGGTTTAAAAATTATTTGTAATGTCAATGTGAGACCTGATGTTGAGTAAATCTGATATAAGGTGTAAAAAGTAAACCATGAGAACATAAGCTTGCATAGATGAATTAATGTAGATGTACATCTGGCATTTAAAGGAGGCTTGAGCACTGGAGAGCGACTTAATGGTGGTACCCATGTCAACCTCCCAAGACACATGACGCATGAAAGTCAAAAGCACCATGTTTCCCACTTTCCTCCAGGAGGTCAAGAGCAGAACAACTTGTGCTTTATGAAGGTGAACTGCAACAGGACTGTTTCCATCTCCACTGGCCTAGTCCACAAGGGTACATGTTAATATACACCCACCAGCACCCACTGCTGGTTCCCTATAAGGCATCCACCAAGTGTCCCTCACAGTTTCACTTAATCTCTAGGTAGGCATGTGGTTGGAGGTGGCCTCTGTTTTCTGTCCTCATACAGGCAACCATATTCCATGAAGGTTGTGTTCAGTTCCATGAAACAGCTACTCCAAAGCTGCCTAGACCTCGGTGCTTGGCTACAAATTAATGAGCACTTGGGACAGTACCTCCTTTGTTTTACAAACATAACCATATTCTAAATGTCAACGGGGCACTTACCAAAGAATTTGTAAGGGCCAGGCTACTGTGTACTCTCCATTTCAAGAGACCACTTTTGCCGATTATAAGAAAAATGACATCACCTCAAATTTCCTGAGCAACTTGATTTGTATGAGCAAACTATATTTTTAATTCAGCACCTCTTCAAAACACTATATGCTGGCGTAGATTTTTTTTCTTTGAGGAAATGCCATTACAGAGAATTCATTTTGGAACATCATTTTTATACGCTATCTCCCAATATATACCTGTAAGAAATACACCTATTCTGAGAAAGGGTATTTGGCTTTCGGTTTATAGCAAATGTTGAAGTTACAGCCTATGGGACCTTCATAGACCAATTTAATCAGAAGTACAAAAATTTTGACATCAAAAACCTTCTTACCAAGTTTAACAGCTAGAAACTATTTTAGGAATTACAGTCTGAAAATTCAGTCCAATAAAAATGTATCTTAAGTACATATTATAGTACATTCTCTCAACTATCTTCACTGTTCTTTATGGTTGCTCTTTTTGTGAGGGAACTGTCACTCAAACCCTGCCTTTCAACTCTTCTATTCTTTATATAATGAACCTCAGCAATGAATAATAATAGAGTACTAAGCTATACAGTAATTCTGCCTTTATCTGACCTGATGTGTTGAAACGCACAGTGTTGGTTCTCTATGCTATGAAAAATGACTCAAAAAGAGAAAAACACTTTCTAATTTACTGAGAATATACAAATGCATATTAAATCTATTAAGAACATGTTACTAGGGAGTGTTCACATATAGATAAAAGAAAATGGTTTTTAGGGCCATCTATTTTCAGGAAATCGACATGATTGCCTTAGTTTGTGGCATCAAATAAAACCTTTAAAAACTACTGTAGTGTCCTCCTAACATAGCAAAAGTTTTTCTGGATTATTTTTTCTTGAAAGTAATAAAATAGAAACACTTCACATAAGCAAATCTCCCATTTCAAGTAAACATCTCTATTTTGTTTGGTTTCTCCTTTTTTTGTTAATGGTGAGCATTTCAATACACACAGTGTCGGTGAGATTCTTATAAATAATTTGACCGTCTTCACCGCACAACAGAACCTTTGGAAATATCTTCAACATAGTCACCACAGAAAAGGACAGTCAACTCTCAATTATTCAGGAGGCGATCAGCTGGAGGGAAGGATATGGCCAGGAAATTCTCATTCTCCTTCTACTAGTCTTTTTGGTCATACCACTGCTTATTCAGAGGTTGACAGTTGGATTAAAATGACAGACCTATCAATGTTACAGGTCAGCCACCGCTCTGTAGGAGAGGAGGTCCAAAGCTCCTGATGACAAGAAAGCTTGGGGATCATCTGTGAATGTTCTATCTCGATGGAGAGTTGACTGTAGTTCACGAGTAGGAGAAGTAACGTTCACTGGCTTTGGTCAGAGTCAAACGAATTCAAGGCAACACTGCTCCTCACAGGCACTGTGGGCATGAAGTGCGGGACTCATCAAAAAGGTGACTGTGAGATTTCCCCAGTTTACCCTTTCTTTCTTGACTCCTTTAGAATACAATTTCAGCATTTCTAATGATAGTTGTTAAATGCCAAGAGTAGCAAAAGCCTCTGGTTCTTCCCCTTAATAGTCTTACATATTACCATGAATAAAAACGATTCTTCCACCAAGATTTGGATGACCCCGTGCCCCAAACAGCATTAACAGGGCAGCCTCCATTTTGCATCTACCTGCCCATATTACCTAGCATGGGCTAAGAAGAGAAAAGGATTCTTTTACTAAGATAAGCAGATATGGCTTTAAGACTCACAGGCACCACCAGAAAGGAGGACACAATGGGATCATCTTATACAGTCACTTCTCTGACTATGAGCTCTAAGTAATGGAGAAAGTTCTGTGAAAATCTTTTTTCTTTCTGTTGAAACATCAGGTTTTGATTTGTTATGATTGTTTACAAAGCCTATGCTATCAGAATGTGGCACACTACGTACAGTGAAGTCTACCTGAACAGTGTTCCCTTTTGATGTTAAGGCTCCCTACACAAATACCGTCTTCTCAAAAAAGAAAAATCCCCTCACTGCCAGCTCTGTTCTCTTCTCAGCCTTCAGAAAGCTGTGTACACAGGGTTCTTACTCCTTTATTAGGCGTAAGATCTTTAGCCCATCATCACGGTTTAACTTTTAAGAAAATCATCACTGAATGATGATTCCTCTTGGTATTTCCCAAAGTGATATTTTTTCCACAAAGGCAACACTCATTAAAAATCAAGGCTTTAAAATGTTAACCACTTTAGTGGTTAAGTCAATGCACCATATTAGAGTAGGTATTTCTACCTTGGCACAACATTAGAGAAGATCTGGCAGTATTACACAAAATTAGTTACCAGTTAAACACTAAATATTTATACACTGAAAAGTTCCAACTTTGAGGAAATGAGATGGACAACAGTCAGCAATGAATTTATTCACCTGTCCAGTTCAGCTTCACACCGAAGCAGAGAAGGGGAAATGGGTTGGGTTCAGAATTTTGTGGAGAGTGTTCTATAAACATAAGGCCCAAGCTCACACATTTTGGAATGGCCATTGCCATTCTAAAAAGGTTTTCCACCTGAGACCATCTATCCCTATCTTGTTTTCTCATTTAGATGTTTCTCTATGATCAAAAACCGTATAGTTTTTCTTTTACAGTTCATTAGTATGTTGCTGGTTACTGTAAAGTCACTTGAGAAATGGTAATTCAGTAGTAAGCAAAGTCACAGGTAATTCAATAGTACGCAAAATCTCGATGTTCTTTTAAAAGCATATGAAGTAACTGGCCAGTCCTACAACAAAATCTTGTCTAAGATTTTCAACAGTAGAGTCAAAATCTTTTCCAAGTCATAACATTTAATCTGATTCTATCTAACCTCACGCCCAGACAAGGATTTACAAAGAGTTAAGTAAGGGGACGGGAGTGTACATGGCAGATAGCCTCATAATGATAAGGCTCCATAACATCTTGTGCTTATTCAACGATACTGGTGTTAATGGCGCCTGGTATCCAAAGAACAGATATAGAAACAGAAAGGTTTTCTGAGGCCAGAAGTGTTAGTTTACATGGTCACATTAAAACATAATATGTGTGGGCCTAAAAATTAAACTGCACCATGTTCTAGAAGCAGGAATACAGCAAAACAAATGCTTCCACATTCATATAAAAATGACAAGGAACAGAGAACGCAGTGAAGAGTATCTGGCAGTTCATTAAAATGCAGTCATTAGTTGCTACTACAGTCACAAAGATAATTATCACACTTTTGGAATGACAAAAAACAAGAGGACTGAAGTGATTGAGTGTGATTTCTATTTCCTTATTCGTAAGGTAATAATTACTCTGATACTCTTAAAAAATGCTTGCTTTACAAAAAAATAAAGATACGATATTTTAAAATTCTTATTTTTAAAAAACCTAAAAAAAGTAACAAATATGTAATACAGATGTTGATTGGATATCACAAGGGAAGTAACACCTTTGGTCACTACGACAGGTGAAACATTAACATTCTGGTTATGTATTAAGTGGGTTGACACTTTTTTTGAATGAAATATCTCAGTTAACATTTTATAATAAATATGATTGGATGAAGTACATGAGAAGCAGAAGAAATACATAATTTTTAAAGTAAAACTGATCATTGTATGAGATAGAAAAATAAACATTTATAAAATAAAAATATGGCAAATGGTGTTGCCCATTTTCCTAATTATCAAATAAACATACATGTGTTTCTTCTTTAAAGATACCACTAAAAAAACCCTTTTAAGAACAAATCATAGGGTAGCTAAAGAAAAATACAGCATTGCTATAATTCAGTAAGGCCTAAGCTTTGACTATCAAAAGCACTATCTGGAATTTAACTTAAGGCCAGGACCTCCACTTTGTCTCCCATTCTCTAAATAGACCAAGACTTTCTTTTATTCATTTCATCACAGTTATATAAAATCCTGTTATTTTTCTTTTCCATTTCTCCAAAATGACTATATCCCTAAGGAATAGAGATTATCTTTCTAGATTATCATGTGCCCTGAACTTAACTCTTAAATCCCTCTTACTCAAGTTCCTGCAATCCAAAAACTTTATGAAACTAAAAATCTTTCCCCAAACAATGATCTAAATCCACTCTGAGAAACTGTTGTAAATAGCTTCCTGAATATTGCCCAACTTTACAGACTATGTGAAAAGATAAGGCAATTCCCAATGGAGGGAAAAAAATTAATAACTTTTTCTCTAGTGACCTATGTAATTCTTTCCTAAAAGCCATCTTGAAATGCCAACTATGTCAGAGTCTTATAATGAAAAATAACAGAAAATCAAGCTGAAGAGATATAGTACGTATATGCAGATGTGTGTACAATATGTATATACATACACACACACACACACACACATATATATAATGGTATGCATGTGTGTGTTTGTATACTTTGACTGCCATTTATGTTAACTAAAAAGCATGGAAAAATAAACATTTCCATGAGGTTAGCAGCTATATACAAAGACTCTAAATTTCTTAAAGATAAGTTTAAAGGTCTTACACAAACGAATACAATCTCCATTAACAAATGTATAAAACCAAATATTTGAATAAAGAACCGGTTCATCAAATTCAACTTTGTGTTGAATTAATCTAATTACCAGCAGGTTAAACAAGACATTATTGAGAAGCTGCCAACAAGTACTGCTATGACGTTAGGCAAGAGAAAAACTTCAGTCTACTTCCAGAGAGACGGCATCAGTATTTATGTAACTGTCTTCAATTCCATTTCCCTTGGCTCTACAAGTAAATGTAAAAAAAGAGAAGAGATATAAAGTTTTCACTTTCAGTTGACTTTGCATAGATCTGAGTTAAAATGTCAAAGAATTACATTTTTGCCAATTAATACTAATAAATGGTCCACTGCCCTTGCTACTGAGGAAGCAAAAGAAGGGCAAGTGTTCAATAATGCTCTCTGGGCCATTTCTGTAGAAGGCTTAGAAGGATACACAAAATCTTATAGTCCATGCAATCAGAATAACATATTTCAATTGTTCCAAGTGTTTCTTTTTAAATACTTGTATTTTTTTTCTTTTCCTGAAGAGTACAAAAAGCCAAGGCTCTATCCTTCAGAAAATATCATACACTAATGCACCAAAAAGCTATTTCTTATATTCCTTTATTCTGCATTGCATCCAAACATTATTTTTACTGTGAACATTCATCTCCATAAAATTCAAATTGCTAAATAAAGACTAGTCCCTAGTTACCAGTACTCCATACCTCACAAGATGGCATTTGACAGAGCTCTTAGACACTACGTCCCAGGAAGTACACATAGCACAGAAACCGCCAATATTCAGAAGCAACACTTTCTTATACTACCCAATTGATCACAAATAATCAAAATATAAAATGAATTAAAAATATTCATGGTCAAAAATATTCACGATTGAGGATAAATCCCAGGAATGCAAAAATATGGGAAGAAAAAATAAGTTGTGAAATGAATTCTGTATCATCCAGTAATATTTGCTATAGTGAGTCCGTTTTTGAAGCAGATTCTTAGGTTTTTACTGCTTATAATGAAAACCTGGGGAGGAGAAGAAAAAAGGAAAAACACAATTAAAAAAAAAAATTTTGAAACTTGACAGTTTTAAGCCCTGCCCAGACAAAATAATTCATCTTTATTTCTATGTGGTTCTTGTTTTGTTTGTTCTTGACTGTAAAACATTTCTATCTGGAATCAATGTATTGTGTTAGCGCTATGCATTAAATGTATGTGACAGACAATACAAAGCAGCCCCTCAAGAGTGATGAGAAAAACAGGAGCCACGTTCAGGTAAATTACGGATGAGAAAAATGCCACCAACCGACGAACTATGATGGAGGCTGCTTTGATAAACTCATCCCATCTTTTAAATAGTGTCTTCTGTTTTATTCCCAACATTGAATAAATATTAAAATGGGAAGGGGAGAGAAGTTTTTTAAAACATACAAATGCCTGACAACTCCCATTCGCAAACCATAATCTGTGCAATGGTATTTTTAATGACAGTAGAAAAGATAATTTGAAAGAATTTTGGGAGACTATCCTTACACTTGGAAAAGGATAATAAAAATCCTGAGTTTTTTTTTTTTTTTTTTTTTTTTTTTGAGACAGAATCTCCCTCGGTAGAGTGCTGTGGCATCACAGTTCACAACAACCTCAAACTCTTGGGCTTAAGCAATTTTCTTGCCTCAGCCTCCCACGTAGTAGGGCTACAGGTGCCTGCTACAACGCCAGGCTATTTTTTGTTGTTGTTGCAGTTGTCATTGTTGTTTAGCAGGCCCAGGCCGGGTTCAAACCCACCTGCCTCAGTGTATGTGGCCAGCACCCTAACCACTAAGCTACGGGCACTAAGCCCTGAGAAATGTTTTATTTTGAATTTTAGTTAATAAATTTTTTCCTCTGTGTTTTATTTTTGAGACAGAGTCTCACTCTGCTGTCCAGGCTAAAGTGCCATGACCTCAGCCTAGCATATGGCAACCTCAAACTCCTGAGTTCAAGCAATTCTCTGGCCTCAGACTCCCCCCTTATGCCTAGCTAATTTTCTATTTTTAGTAGAGACAAGGTCTCGCTCTTGTTCAGACTGGTCTCAAACTCCTGAACTCAAGGGAAATTACAGGTATAAGTCACTGTGCCCAGCCCATTAAAATTTTATGTTTTGATTATCTATTTTTAAAATTAAAAAACCACTTAAATCATTAAACCATTACAACAAATGAACTCCATTAGTTAATAAGACCTAATGTATCTGTAAAGTCTATTACAGTCTGCAAACTTCTTTTACACGTTTTATCTTCTAAGATACATACCTCTCACACTTTTAAACAGCCTCTATTTTATAGATGAGGGAATTAATAAGAAACTACCTTTCTAGTATTTCATTTTATAACTCCCAAGACAATGCACGTAACTGAATATATATCCTTAGAAGAGCAAATACATCCAACTATCCATTTTAAAGGATGGTTCAATTTAAGTATCTATATTCTTTCCTCACCTTTGATTAAAAGTTTTGTGCGGGAGGTATGCATATTTTAAATCTAATTAATGCAGTCATGGGCAGATGGGAAACAAGAGCCAGGATAGAAAGAGCTTCCTATAGATCTAAATGGAGGTCACAATCGCCCTTCATAAAGCCTGAGAGGAAAGGTATCAACTCTTTCCAGAGGAAAATGCAAATACACAGAGAATCTTGCATTTATTCTGAGGGGTTTTGTATTCTGGTTTTTGTCTTTTTATTTATTCGTCTGTTTTAATAAATGACAAACACGACCAGGATCTGCTGAGAGGAAGACAACTTATTTTCCACTTGAGTGACCAGAAGTCAACATTTGAGTTTTACACCAATGTATGAGGCTAGTAACATTGTCCTAAACTTGATCATGCATACTCTTCTTACCTTTGTGAGAGGACTCTGATTTTGAGAAATGACGTGTGGAACTCTGCTGGTTTGTAAAATGAGCGTAATCAAAATCCTCAGCATCTGTCATGGTAGGTGGTGGTGGCCTAAAAGGAAGCCAGAACGTTAAGAGATACTCTAAATAATGTCTGCTACAATTCCACCCCTCCTGGATTGGATGGTAAAAACATTTCTACAGAAATGAAAAGCCAGATGCTTTAGAATTTGCACTTTAACTTCAGGACAACGGTAAAAGCTTGAATAAATTATTTTGTCTTATTGTTCCTATTTTGTTGAATGTAATTCAATTAAGAATATATTTTTCTCAACAACTACTGTGTACGAGGCACTACGCTAGATAAACAAAGATTAATGAGATCTGACTGCTGCCATTAACAGGAATACACTTTAGTGGGTTTTACTAAGGAGGAAGAAAAGAAATAATAGGAAATGATAAAGTAAAAAGTTAAGGGGAAAAGGACCCCAAAAAAGGAAGAGAAGAAAAGGAGGGAGACAGGCAAGGAGGGAGGAAACTCTGGTAAACACAAAATTTCATGAACCAAGTTCCTTTATCCACTAGGTGGCAAAGTAGATTAACACGTCTGCAACTTTCCATGCAGTACATTTGTACTCTTTATATCAAAGAAAACAAATGAAAAAAACAAAATTAGGAAAGTTTTACCAAACTTTTTATTATTTAAATTACATATTATAAAATTTTACAAACACTTGGTAATTTAGAATGAAGAGCAAAACCTATTATTCTTTTGTTTTCCCAAAGGTGTACCCAGATTTTTTCATTAAAGCAGATTCAGATGAGGTTAAGATTTATCAAATATATATAATCATGTTTTAAGACATTTTATGCCACTATGTATAAAATCTAGAAGGCATAAATATCCTGGAGTTTGTAAAGGTAACAGTCAGTTTGGTACACTGAGCCCCGTCATACAAAAATAAAGGAAAGGCTTTCAAACTGTTCACCCTACACTCTCGTAGAAAGTCTTTTCCTGGGTGTCCAGCATCTAGAAGAGGTCAGCATGGGTGGACACTGTGGGATGTACACAGATTATCTCAGTTAACTTTCAGAACAAGTCTGTATGGTAGTTATTATATATATATTTTAGAGTTAGACTAGGTTAGAGACAAGGTAAGTGATCTGTCCAAGTTCATACAGCTGTTAAGTGGCAAAGCCAGTTCTCAAATTCAACCGGACTTTGAACTTCAAAACCAGTGTTCTTAACTCTCTACCATGCTGTGCTGTATTTGTATTAGGAGCATCAGCATCTGTATGTAAGACTACATACATGTGTACAGATACCTGTATGCGCCTGTATTTATATTTTTATATGTATCCTTTCATATGAATCTATGTCTTAGACTTTCAAATGCCAATTGAAAACACGATCTTTTATATTATATGTATTTTTATATTTTCAAGCATTTGTTATACACATAATTAATGTGAGTACAGTGAATAATGCAGCATTTTTCCTTTTCTTTTTGAACCATTTACAAATATCAGAAATTAAATGGTGTTTTTCCTTCATAAACTGAAATTTATAACATTTACCTTGAGAAAGAATTTTAAAACTTACTAGGAAGAAGCAGACAAATCAATCTCACTCCAGAATTAAGGAATTTAACTTCATGAAACATACAGGTGGCTGAAGAAGTGACATAAGCCCCCCAGAACAGGATTGGTAATCTGGGGGGTAGAGCCTGTTCTCTATTCTTTTATTAACTTCATTAGGCAATCAAAAATTGGAAAGACACAAGCTGAGTGGGACTCATAAAAACACTCCATAATTACAGCCTCCCTATCAACTGATCATCAAGGAAAAGGAGGCTGAAGTTATAAAGTGGAGCACAGGCTGCTGGCAAACTCCCTGGGCCCTCCCTGTAAGGATGAGCAAACCAATCCTGGATGCCCTCAGTCCTCTCTGGGTGCTGTGCTGTTGTTTTCAGTTATACAGGAAAGAGAAGAAATCTTGGTTAATTGCTGCTAGTGGTCCTAGCAAATTATTTTGTTGCATTGGATGGACATCTGTGTAAAGTTAAGGATATTTATATCCAAAGTTAACCACGCATTTGTTTTGTAGTTTCTGTTGTATTAGGATTATCTATTTCCTACTGTGTTCACGAAATAATTTTCATCTTTAAGTTAGTGATATAGCCAAATGCCCTCCAGAATTAACTTCAAAATTACTTTTTAAACCTGCCTAGATCCCCAAACCAGGCTGTCTCTCCTTATGCTCTTAAACCATAGCACTTAACACATAATAGTTACTTAGATAATTACTTGTTGAGATTAGAAACTTCATGAGAACATGAAAGGATTCATTCGTGTGACTGCTTACCCTATTTCTGAGCAACTATTAAAATGTTCATAAACGAGGTTTATAGAATCTTTAAGTTTTCCTAAGAAAACAATGAAAGCAAAGTATCATGTATTAGCACTAGTATAACGTGCTGTAGTTGAAAACCATTTGCAACTTAGTTGGAAACTTTTTCCAATTTAGAATTAATTCAGATTGCTAACTGGTTCTCAGTTTCCTTAGAAGTAGAAAACTGTAAGGACATGTTACCAGCTCTCCATGAGAATCTGTTTCTCCTCCATCACTACTATTCCTAGGCTGAAGTGATAGACATCTGACCTAGGAAGCTCCTTGTTTTTCCATCCTTGAACCCACTCTCTGTCCCAGCAGCCAGCTAAACCTTTCCACCGTGATTAGATGCAAAAGAGAAAAACACAGACTCTAACCAGAAAAAATATATTCAGATATTAGGTATAGATAATTAGGCTTTAATTATTAACTATGAAAATGTAACTTTCATAAAATTCTTATTTTTTTCCCATATAAAAGAGTCTTTCTATAAATATTATTTAAAGATAAAAGTTTCCTCTAACAACAAAAAGATTTCCACCCTACTGGCCCTAAGTCACTTTTCACTAATTCATAATAGCCATTTTTAATATATTATCATTTGATTATCCATTCTTTCAAAATGCCAAGTATTTTTAAAGTACCTATTACACTCCAGAAACTTGTTTTCAAGCTTTAATAAGCCTTTTTAAATAGCCACCCCAGACTACTCTATCATATCTGCTTTCAAAGTTATTAGTATTCTAAAGAGGCCAAGGACTTTGAAGATTAAAAAATAACCCTGAAGATGATTTGAGCTCATTTGGCTAAAAAAAGAATAATAATCCAGGCATATTTACCTCCTGAGAGCAGATTAGCTGCTTCTTATTTTACTTGAACAATATGAGGATGTACTGAACTACACAGTTCTAAAATGTGCCTTAAAAATGTTTGACATGGGGCAGCGCCTGTGGCTCAAGGAGTCGGGAACTGGCCCCATATGCCGGAGGTGGCGGGTTCAAACTCAGCCCCCGCCAAAAACTGCAACCAAAAAAAAATGTTTAGCATGTGCTTAACCAAAAGCTACAAGAAGAACAAGCTTTTTATAATGAGGCTAACTAACTACTATTGTCCTCAGAGCAATATAATAAACCTGATATAATTTTCTAAAGAATATCTTCTGAACACACATGAGCTTAAAAACAGAGGATAATTTTTTAAGCAACTAAATATATTCACTTAAGGAAAACAAGTCAAACAGCTTAAGCATGGATAATGAGTGGAAACTGTGTATTTTTCAGGACAATAAAATTTTTATTTTAAAATTTAATAAATATTAATAATCAGGACCAAAATTCAGATGTTAGTAATTCAGACCAGATCCTATAACTGGTGATTTCAAAAGGGTAGACTCAGTGTTACTATTGTTCTTTTATTTCTATTATTTTCTCTTCATATTCTATCATCGTTTTTTTGAAAGGGAACAAAAAGCAGCTTGGCGCCTGTGGCTCAAGCAACTAAGGTGCCAGCCACATACACCAGAGGTGGTGGGTTCAAATCTAGCCAGGGCCCACCAAACAACAATGACAACTATAACCAAAAAACAGCTTGGCGTTGTGGCAGGCGCCTGTAGTCCCAGCTACTTGGGAGGCTGAGGCAAAAGAATCGCTTAAGCCCAAGAGTTGGAGGTTGCTGTGAGCTATGATGCCACCGCACTCTACACAGGGCAATAGCTTGAGGCAAAAAAAAGGGAACAAAAGCAATAAAGTTAAAAGAAGTTGCTTCGTTGGGACTTAAATGTTAACAACTTGAAATAGACAGCACTTGCTTCCTCGTAAAGACCCCGCACTGCTTGTGCTTCAGAAACCACATATACAATAGGGTAGTTAATTGGTCCAGTGTGATTTAGACAGTATGCAACCAATGACTGACTGATGTGCCCAGGACATGAGGCTCAGACAAGAGAGTGAGCATGTGTAAATATCATACACATATAGCATAACCACTAAAGCCAGTAAAGATTTAAAACCTGAGATTTTAGTGAGGAAAATGGATAATCTTACCGCTTCTTAGCTGACACCATAAATTTAGTGAATACAGAGATAAGAAATGGTCCTAAGAAAATGTACATCCCTTCTTACATACCCCAGTTTTGATAAAATTCCCCTGATTTGACTTATATGACCTAATTTAAGACTGCAAATAAAGTTTGAAAATAACCCCGTAAGACTTAACACCACCTCACAATCGTGGATTTTTGGATCTCCTCTCCAGAAGAAAAAATAGTCTTCTCAGGCAACTGACTTCTCCTTACTCACCCTGGAGTCCACTTCCTCACTTTCCTTTTCAGGTGTCATCTTACCGTGCTGGCCTGTCACTCTTAGAACGGTGAGGGTCATCACTCTCTTTTGACTTTGAGTGTGCTGATTTAGCTGTTTTGGGCTATGTACAGAAAAAAACAAACAAACACATACAAAAAAAGAAAAACACACAATACAGAAACATCGAATAAACAAGAGGAAAGATTAGGTTTATAAAATATACATACCATGCCAAGCTTTCCTTTAGTAATTTCAGGTTACTTACATTTAGTTAAGCAATATAAAATATTTTTATATTTGGCCATTCAGAGTTAGAAAGTTGTAACTACAAAGGTCTGCCTGAGGCTTCAGAGCAGCTAGACCAGTAGCTGAACACAGACAGAGGAGCTCTCCCACACAGGTGTTCTCGGCCACCAACCGTTAACCCAATAGCTGCACAGAAACTGCCAAGAATGGTGGAAACACCAGAGTCTCTGGAATCTTAAGTTGTGCTCACAAACTTATTCCTGCACACCTGACTTGAGGCTCATGATTTTCCAGTCAGCAAACTAAGGCGAGCTCAGGTCAACTTTTCTGGAAGAGGGACTGTCCCAGCACCAGTTATAGGATCTGGAAATCACAGAAGTTACAAATATGGCCATATTGCCCTCTGACTTTCCGGATTTATAATCCTTAAAATATCTACCCTTTCCTAGTTAAAAAAAAAATCTGAGTAACATCCAGGCAATTATATGTGGCTAAATTTATGTACTAGGAGTATTAGGGAATCCTTCACTAAGATAAAGTATGTTAAGAAAAATCTTACTAAGATACTAAGAGGAAAAGAGAAAGAATTAGATATAAACTTAATAAACATGGAAATAATACTTCTGTTTGCTTTTAGACTGGGTAATTGAGTAACAGGATGGTTTTTACATCTTCTTTTTCCTTACGACCACTGCTGAGACTGTGAGGAGGAATCAGAGAGCCCAAGGGAGGGGTCATTTCAAAGAGCACAGGCCGAAACAACTTATCGTGGATACACACCCTCAGTTGCATCCTTCCTCTAAAGCCTGTTCTGTATGAATTTTCTTCCTCTCTTCCTCTGGTCTTCTTCCACCCAGCTAGTTGCTAGCTGTCCACAGCTTGTCTTCCTATTTTATGTACTATCATCAGGAAAAACACCTGTGTCTTCCCATGTCGGTCCAGAGGGGTGCCTTTCACACTCCCTGATGAGGAAAGTCTACTGACCCTGCAACTACCACACACAACTCATCAGCTGACCTTACAGAGAACACACTGCAGTCACTGCTCATTTTGTCAACTACTTCTGACTAATGAGGGGAAAGACAACAGCCCAAACTCACACTAGACAGTTCTTGCTCTGTGATATAAGCAAGGGCTGCTGGAGGTAAGTATGTATCTGTTAGTCTGCCACAGACCAAGATACATGTCAAAGGAAAAAGGAACAGGTGTGTCACAGGGATAAAGAAAAATGCAAGTACAGAAAGAAAGTACAGACAGCAAGAGAGAGAAGGTGACTGGAAAGTCTGAGTGCACGTGAAAATGCCACGTTCTCCTGCAATCTAATAATGGATGTGAAAACTAAGATCGCTCATGACCAGAAGCCCTTGCATTTCAGTTGGTTTTAACAGAATGAGTTTTTCAATCTTAGCAGCAACTTTTTACATAGTTAATTTTAAGAATTCGATAATTTTCCATAGTGATAAACTTTTACCAATCAAATTCATACACAATACAGATAATTTGCTTATACTAAATAAACCTGCAAAGCTTATCCTAAAAATAGAATCCTCTTTTTATCTCAAATTAAAAACACCCATAAACCCCCCAAAACCCCACACCCTACCTTCCACTCAGGGTCATGCTTTCTTTTGTCCAAAGATGATTTCTCCCTCTCCTTGGCTTTCTTGTAAGCTTTCTTTTCTTCAGCCATTAGAAGTCGAGCAATTTCCTAAACAAAATGCAGCCAATGTCATTAACTGCAATTATAGGTAGAAAAAATATCAGGCTATTTTCAAAGAATATCAGCTAAATTCATTAACTCACATGAAACTTACCTCATCCTGGGCTACTTGAGCTGCTCTCAGGTCCACCTGGGTAGCCTGTGATACAGAAAATATAACACACAAAAAATTGGAATCCCTGTTTTCCATTTTAAAAATCTTATATAACACAGTATTTGAAACTAGTTGTGATGAACATTCCTGAAGTTGACAAGCAGTTGGTATACTTTCATCAGCCAGAGCAGGGGCTCTTTTGATAAATTCTACAGCAGAGTCTAAGAGAACTGTCAGAACTGAATCATGGAGAGACAGGGATATAAGTTGTACTGTTAACGCTCACTTAATAAATAAAACTGGATACTCTAGTTTCATCGTCTTGGTATTTCCACTCAAAAAATAGTAAATTAGTTTCTCAACTGATAGAGGATAATGCCTATTATATAATCTCAAGATTGACTGGATTCATAAAAAACCTGATTCACCTAAACTTCTGCCTTAAAATTTACTCACCAAAAGTTCCTCTTCTTGAAGCTTTCTGGCAATTTCAGCATCATACCATTCCTGATCCCTATGGGCCACTCGTGATGGGATAGAAATAGCTTCTTTCACCACTCTTGTCTTTGTTCCTTAAAAAAAAAAAAAAGAAAGAAAGAAAGAAAGAAAGAAAAGAAAATTAAAATAAAAACTCAGTGTAATTAGGCAACCGAATATATTCTCTGAAAAACTGAAAAATTTAAGATAAAAATTTTCTTTTGTATCTAACTTGCCAATACTGCCTCCGCTCCAGAAGTTAGTGGGGAGTGCATTTAAAGTATTTTCTGCCCTAGGCATGGATGTGGCAATGAAGATAACTCACACATTTAAATAAAGTGGCCCACTCAAACCTGCCTGGTAAAAACTCCCCTTTCACATCATTTCAATAGCAGAAAATCACATAAGGAACTCCAAGTTGAGGTCTTGGCAGAATAGGAAGTGAAGGGGAACAAAGAATTTAAAGAAAAGCAAGTTACAGAGTCACAGAGTTTAAAAGACGCTAAACTGTCATAACAGGAGGAGAAAAGAGACTTCCTTTGAATTACCTCAGCCTATAACTTACTGCACAGGGAACAGAAACAGCATCGCCCAGGAGCCACGGGACAACACCGTTAGCCAAGCAGTGGCTCTGCCCTGGCTTCTGCTACAGTGGTGAACACACCACTTGTTTTAGATTTTTCCCATAGTTAAACTTCAGGAAAGATTCAAGGGAAATACCAAGGGCACACAACGACTTCAGAGTTCTATTCCTCTGCGGAGAAAGGAACACAGGAGACTGGTGGTCAACCATGGCTATATACTCCTGCTCAAATGTGAGTACAATGTATTCTGAATGCAGTAAGTTAGTTATTTACTGCTGATTAGCCAGCTGAAATAGCGACCTTCAGTACATGGACTACTGAAGGGAGAAAGGATGTGTTCCTAACAGCCCATCTCTCTACACCAGGGGTTGCCATCCAAGGCTGCATATTAGAGTCACTTGGAGATACTTTAAATAAATATAAAAATATCTTCCCCAACCCCCAGACATTCTAATTTAAGTAACCTGAGTGAGCCCTGGCCTTAGAATAAGGTTTTAAGTCTTCCCAGTTCCAGTTAATTCTTTCTTACAATTAGCAGTGGAACAAGTAGTATATTATGTACATAAATAATAAGTTAAAGTAATTTTTATCAAAATGCCTCACCACCCTTGCTTCACTTGCTTGCTTGGTGTTATTTAAAAAAAAAAAAAAAGTCCAGGAAAAAAAAACAAAACTAAATATTGAACAAATACAGACAACATAAGCTGAAGCTTATCTTTGTAGAACTTCAACCTGGCTTTATGGTAAATTCAAAAGCCAAAAGCTTTATTCATACTTTCTCATGAATAAAGACTACTAAACCAGACTTTCTCTGCTTCAGGCCTACTAGAAGCTGATTACACAGACCACTTGAAATTATCTCTAGAACTACTAAATCTTATACTGGGTTGGCCTGATTTTAACCTGCATTTCTGAGTGGGCTATAAGAGTTGACCTGATAGAACATAAACCTCCCCGAGTTGTGATTAGCTTGTTCATAATTAGAAAGGCAAATTTCAGGAAATATACATGAAATTAGACAGACAACTTAGTATTGGGCAAGGTCAGTGGCCAAGACAGGCTGCGAGGCAATACTGTAATCTGCAGCAAAGTGACCCTTCAGTGAGCAGCCTACAGCCTTGCTGAGGACGGCAGGATGCACAGAGCTCCTTCAGTTTTCCCATCCAGTGAGATGGTGACAGCGAGGTGTGCTCACATTCCAAGATACCAAACTTGCCCTGCATGTATGTCTCCTACTGTATACCATAGAATTAACTGAGAAAGTATTTTGTTTTACATTTTATCAAAGACATGTTTTTTAAATTCTATCAAAGACATTCAACTGACTAGTTGTAATTGGTTTGACAGGGTAATAAAATTGCAACCTCTGATCAGTTAAAAACACAAGACAACTTCACTGATAAAGGTCAGAATCTGAAGTAATATCTCTTCAGTCCCAAGTATTTAGAGGGGAAATGGTTTGTTTAAACACTAGGTAGATCACTGGAATCTGCAAGTCTTAAGAAGAAGAAAATCTTCACAGCCTGGGCAGCTGGCTTTCTGGACTGGCAGGAGGTCTACACGCTATGGTATCCTCTGGACATAAGATAACAAGTTTTTTTAAATACATGTAACAAGGAATCACCAATAATGCAATGTCAGGCTGTCCTTACAGAAAACAGATATTTAAAACATAGTTAATTTAAAAAGATTAATGAAACAGTTGCCTTCATATAGGTAGCCTAAATAGAATCTAGAAAACTTGTTTTCAAACAATCAGTTGAACCATATTTTCAATAGCTCCATATATTTTTTAATCTAAGTCTTCCTTGTTTATTCTGTTCATCATCCTCCAGTTTGAGAACACAAGAACACAAAGGAACAAATAAAATTTTCTCCTTAAATAAGTTCTGATAGAATAAAACTATTAAAAGTACTGGTATTCAAGATAAATTTACTCCGAGTTTAGAATAAGGTAAAGTGATGACTGGCAGATTTTTTTTTCAATACCATACCAGGCAAGAGTACTTTGTAATAAAGTAGTCTGACACCTAGGAAATACCACAGTATATTTGATTAACAATTCACAGCAGGAAAGTGGAGGTATTTTATGGCCCTGAGCTTAGATCTTAACCTGCGAAAATGATAAGCTGTTAAGAATTTACAGTCCAACAGAGAAGTTACTGGAGAAATCTTGTACTTCATTTAGCAACTTTATTTTGCATTCCTTTTTCAGCTACAAATGTCACTCTGCAAATAAGCTTAGTACCATTTTTTTTTTTGTCATCCTGCTGGTTTCTTCATTATTAAGTTAGATAAAACTCTGGCCTCTGCTAACCACTTTAAGAACTGTGATTTTACAACAGCAAGAACAGATACCAGTACTTAGTAATTATATTTTTATGTAATCGATTATCTGACCTATTCCAGGGAGTTTAACAATCGAAATATTGAATTTTATACAGCAAGCCAAAGATAATGATAGACACTAAGCTGCTGGGGTTGTAGCCATTTTAGTATCTGCCTAGCCACAAAGGTTTTTAAAACCTCATGTCGGAAAAAAAAAAAAAAATTGCAATTCCTATAGTTAAGCCTGTGAGTCAGTATTTAGTTTCATGCTTCCCAAGCTTGTTTAAAGACCCTAGAATACAACTAAAAGCCATAAGGCCTAACTAGCTCTCAGAGCACTGTACTATGTCAGACTGGCAGAACCAGAAACGCAGGGGTCAGTGTGATCATCACTGTTCCACCAGACTCCCCCGCACCTGTGAAACTCCAACCTGTACTTCTAAACCTAGATACAGGGTAACTTCCTCATCAACCTAGTTCAGGTGGATTTTACCACTCTCTCCTCTGTTCCCCAGCAGCTCTTTGTTCATGTCTCCCTAACAAAGTGCATCTAGTTTGGAATTATTTACATATTCTTCCTTTTGGCTCAACTATTAACCCTCTGAGGCTCAAGCCCAAGGCAAGAATACGTGTAGCAGATACTCAGTATCAGTACGGCTTGCTGAAATGATCTTTATAACCAAGTCCTTTAATAAGCGATAACATGACAGAAACACAACCAAACAAATCAATCTGATAATCTGCAACCTAGAAACCAGTTTCCCAATCACAAGTAGAGCTTGACGAGGCTGCAATAAAGAAGAAACCAAGAATAGATGCCTCCTTGGTGTGGCTTTCCCAGTAACCATCCACTTCTATAAAACTTCAGTGAAATTAAAATGAACTTGAAAGATTGAGTACAGTTTATTAAAATGCCAGATAGTGTGGGATTCCCACATGGAAAACATCACCTCAGCAGACTCCAGGAAGAAGAGAGAGCCACAGCTGCGTCAATGATGGACTTCCGAGTTTAGCCTCAGAGACGCTAGAAACCTAACTTCATTACTATGTAGGAATCGAGAACTTACCAATATTAACAGATTACCAACTACAGAGTTAAGCCGGAGAAAGTTAAAGCATAAAAGGAAACATAAGGCAACAACTTTTAAAGTTCCTAAGAATCACCTCTAGGTCTAAAATGTTTCCAAACATCCTGGCCTTTCTCCATAAATGACAATATACGTGAAACCCAGAAATCTGCATTTTTAGGGAAGAGCCGATTCTGACAAAAATGGACTGAGGCCAATAATTTGAAAAATGCTGTCTGAAAAGATTGCCTATCGAACCCTTCATTTTACAAACGAGAAAGCTGAAGTCCGGAAAATCTAGTACTTCCCGCTCTCGCGACCTTTTAGTTAGGCAAATACCATTAAGGCAACACTGTCACATGTTATGGGTTTACTGACACAGAACCAGAAATTCAGGAACTTTGATTTGATATTAGACTCTCTGGTGTATGGTCTTGGCAAACGAAGAACTGTATCTGAGACAGGCCCCTCCTGTAATGTGGGCCCCGAAGAATCCTCCATGGATCCAGGACAGGCTCACAGGAGGGCAAGGTGCAAGGACTCTCCCCTGCTTCCTACAGTCCTGAGATTAAGTACGTACCTTTTACACTGTGTGGTCCTAGGATTTATTTCAAAGGCATGAAACAAACTGGAGAGAAGTAAGTTTTCTGATTAAACACACTGGTGTGTATGTTTATACCTATACCAGGACTTCCCACCAGGCTGTCCTTTATTACCTGTGTTCTGAAGGTGGACTTGCTCTTCACTCTCTGAGAAGGGAGGAGACCGGGGTCTGTGTCTCCTTTCTCTGAGCTCACCTTGCCCATGGTCCTTCCCATAAACATCTTCTTTGCAGCGAGGCCCGGCTTTCTGTGAGGAGTTGGGTGAAATTCGGTCTTTGTGCTGAGAATGTTTTTCCCAACTCCGAGTTCGATGGCTACGCTTAGCCTCCCAGTCATCAGATTCAGTGCTCAGAAACACCTCACCACTGATCTTGGGAAGTGGAGATCTCTGGAGCCTGTCCTGCCCAGACCCTTTCTTTTCATGCTGCTCCCTGTTACTCTGAGGCTCACCCCTCCCTCTGCTCCAGTTAGAAGATGACAAAGGCCTCCTGGATGAACAGGGTTCTCCCAGGTCTTCCGCGTCCTCCAGCACATGTGTTGGTTTCTCCTTTCCCCGCTTCACAGTCTTTCCGTCACCTGGGAGTCTGGGAGACTCTGAGAATCCAGACCCCAATTCCCTGGCCCTCCTTGACCTGGGGTGGTCTGAGGAGAGGTGGAGGGGTGTGAGAAATAAAAACGCAGATTAACTTAATCAGAGTATAAACTCATTACACAGGGAAAGGACAGGCCCAAGTTTAGCATACCCTTAAAATGGAGAAAACTGCTTTTATGACTGACTGAACTGAGGAGAGGAGAAGCAGCACTTATGGGATTGGTCCAGGCATACATGAAGAATTCTGGTACACAGACAAAAAGGTGGAAAAACTGAAATTAAGTGAAATAATTTAATTTGAAAGAAGACTTTGATCACGATTAGGCAGAGTTAACAGAGTGCTTTAATATTTGCCAAACAAAAATTACAGCCACTGAACAGTAAATTCCACTATAAAACTAATTTGAAACTAAGTATAGGGTAAAAAGTAGGGGTCAAAGAGTCTCATAAAATCACAAAAAATTAAGCTTTGTGACTTCAGTTAGAAGCTTTCAAATATTCTTATGAGAAATGACAATGAAGCTATCACAAAATGATCCACAGATTTCTGTATCCCCCCCCCCACCAAGTGGCCACAGCAAACATTCCCAGCCACTCCCTACAACAGCTCCGTATCACAGTCCAGTGTGGAAGGGGGTGCAGTCCAATTTTAAATGAATAAATGATCCTGTTAGGTAACTTTACATAACTCTATTGTCAATCTCAGTTAAAACTCAACAGAGGGAAAAATTTAAAAGTGATGACTCAAGGAAACAGAAAAAAAGGAGTCACTGTCTAAATACATTTCAAAAAACGTTATGATACTGTGTTCTTCATACAAAAACGGTTAAGTGCTAAATATGCAAGTCCCCCAGGTTAACACCAACTTCAAAACCAGCATACAGGGGAGCCTCGCCAGGTGTCATTTAGACACAAGCATTTTGTGAAAACAAAGGCAGCAAATTACTATGTAGTTGGCAAGAACATGCCGATTTCAATATTTTCTAAACATTTTATGACTTTGTTATATAATAACACAAATGCTAATTCCATGGAAAATTGCTAAGGTAGCTAAAATACATTCCTTACCACAATTAGCCACTTGCTAAATTGCATTTGAAACAGCTACCATGTTTGAATGAGAGGTAGACAAAACTAGGCCTGGACATGTCTCAGGTGTTGTTTTTTTACAGTTTGTTTCCTTTAAGACTGTTACTCTGCTAAAGGAACAGCCTGAGAAGACAAACGCTACATGCACCACTGATACCAAAAGCTTCTACTAAAAACGTGAAATTCTTTCCTCTTGAGCTTTTCAGAAAAGGAAATTTGCTTCAAAGATTAGTCTAGATGAAAATTTGTCTTCTAAGTCGTCTATAAAAGTATTTATTTTCATAATTTATGGCTAAATTTATATTTTACATAAAATAATAGAGAAACAGAACAATTACTCTCTGTAATAAAAAAAGTGTCTGCTCTTTTACCCAAACTATTATGTTCAAGTCTATCTTAACAATTGAGAAAGAATCAATTGACCAGCTAGTTACATGATGACCACACTCCAGGGCATAATGGTTTATACTACAGTGGTAATACCTTGTGCTCATGGAGAACTGTAAAAGGGAAGTTCACCTTTAAGCCCAAAAGAAACAAGAAAGGTTTTATTTTTGACTTGGATTTGTGAAGCTATGATTGGTTTTGTTTATAATTCATTCTAAACAATTAGCTGATATTTGTAGTTTTACTTTAGGGAAATGTGTTACGGGAATTATTAGAAAGTTGTTACTGCATTTTGACAGGGATGACCAGAAAAAAATATTCATTCTCTAGTTCACCAACTGTAATAGCTTTAAATCTGAGAAAGGAAAAAAAAAAAAAAAAGATTGGCGCAAGGAATGTGTTTGAATCCTTTAAAATGTTCCAGTTAAGAACTGAGACTTGTGTTTGAGACCACTGTTATTTGGCAAATATAATTAACTCCCTCATTGCCAAGACATACACACCCAACATACCCACATGCTCACAAACACGACTGCATTTTGTATGTGTGCCTCCATGTTTCTTTCAAAATCAGATCATTTTTGTTTAGATACACAAAAATATATATCACACACATAACATTGATATATGTGATATATGTATAAACAATAGTACTTAAGAGTTTACTAATCCTTCACCAAAACTACATTACTTGATCTCAACACCATATGAAGGACTTTTTTTGAGACAGAGTCTCTGTCACCCTTGGTAGAGTGTCATGGTGTCACAGCTCACAGCAACCTCAAACTCTTGGGCTTAAGCAATTCTCTTGCCTCAGCCTCCCAAGTAGCTGGGACTACAGGCTCCTACCACAACGCCCCATTATTTTTTATTGCAGTTTTCTAGCTGGCCCCAGCTGGGTTCAAACTTGCTACCCTATGTGGCTGGCGCCATAACAATTATGCTACGGGGGCCGAGCCTGAAGGACTTATTTTTATAATCTCCAATTTACAGACGTAAAAAAAATTTAGAGTAATTATAATAGATAACTTCATTAAGATTACATTGTTCCAAAAAAGGGATATAGAACTTGAGCTGTAAGTCTTATGACTCCACAGACCATGACTAGTCACCAATATGACTACAATACAGCCAACTGGCTTTGAAAGAGAAACATGGCTCCACTAGTGAATAATACAGACCACTTAATAGTTGATATAAATTTGACAGATGTTTTCGATAATTTCAAATTTGTAGAAAACCTATAAATGATCATTTTGAAAGATTCATTTATTAAAATTTAAGTTAAATAAAAGCAGAAGAGATTTCCATTTCTGTTATGCTATACTGTGATTACTAGGTAAAGCAAAAATCAAATTATACACAGAGATTGAAAAATATAATCTTAAAATATCCTGGATGTGTTGGAAAAGGACCACTGTAAATAACTTAAGGATTGCTCTGTAAACATGAGCTGAATTACGATATGGTTTCTGGGGCACTCGCCTCAGTCTAACTCAAAGGAGCACAAATGAGAACTGCACGTTTAGCAATATGAATCGACCAACACCACAGCTTAGGTAAAAGAAAGTCCATTGTCTACACACATGCTGATGAGGTTACCATCGCCATCCAATATTCCCCTAACCCTTATTATGCTACTATTTAAAAATTTTGAAAGGCAGTTAAGATATAGATTTTTTTCAACTTTGAAACTATCTTAAGAATAATAAATAAATCTTAACATCGTTTCCTGCCCCACAGATGTGAATCAGGATGACAGTATTCTGATCAAAACAAATAGGTTTGAGTCTCAATTTAAGTCAGTATAGGCTTTATAAAAGAAAGGCTAAATTTAATGTTTTAAAGTACTTAACTACCTGCCATCCTAATGTTTTTAAAGACTTTAGAGTTTAAAATAGAAAATTTATAAATGAATATGCCTCTAGCACAGAATTTAAAATAAAAGCTAACAAAGGAAAAACACTGGACTACATTTCTAAGATTTTAATTGAACTGAAAAGTAAATCTTCACCTTCTGGTCTCTAGTATAATAAAATATGGCAACACTGTTTCTTTTAAAATGACCTAATATATAATTTTTGGCTACCAAGAAAGATAAGCATTTTACATATGGAGTAAGAATGTATCAAGCAATAAACAAAGAGTCAAACTGTTTATTAAATAGGTCATAGTGTTGAGCTCTACCAATTATGGTGAGGTTAGGGCAAAAATTTTTACTGAGCAAGATTATATTCAAACGGTAATAATCCCGCCATCTACATATGCACTGCTTTCACTCTACTTATGAAAGACAAACATATACTTACCTTTTTAAATGGAATTATAGGAAAGCAGATGATAATTGGTTTACAAGGCCCTTTGTGATTGCTGACCTTAAAAATCTTTACTCTCTAGAAATTGCCTTTAAGTATTGTTCACCTGTTATTCTAAGTATGGTTTCCAAGCTGAATGTCAATAAATACTGACACTTGAAACTAAAGCAAATACCTTCCCTCTGACGGATCTTTGAAAAGAAATGAAGAATACTTGTCAATACTCCTTTCCCAACACATTTTTCAGATAAAGAGTTACCACCACCACCACCACATTGCCACCACCACACCACCACCCACTGCAGAGGCAGGCACTAGAGACGTGAAACTCTGGAAAGACTTCCTGCCCTAGGCAATTATTCCATATGGTGATCAAATAGCAAAGAAAGGATCAAAAGCAAGAAACGAAGAGTAAATCTTAAAATTAATTAACAGTATCACTTGTCATCAGCAGGCTAAACCCTTGGCCTAGGTTTAAAAGACAGGAAAGCAGACAGAAAAGCTCTGTCACCCAGTGACTGACGCATGGTGGGCCTTCTTCAACAGCATCGCCCAGACGCTCTTGAGAAAGGTTAAGTCCAGAGACCCATCTACCATTTTACACACCCCACTTCATGTGCTTTACCGCAACACTGCACTCCAAGTGACCGCAGCACAAAAGAATGCATGCCAATCTTTAGAAAGCTATATTCAAATTTTAAAAGTCACAAAAATGCTTCTGGTTGTTTGACTAAGGAATCGATGAATTCATCAGATTCCAATAGAATCTGCCACAAATGTAAATGTGCCCAGTGCTAGGGGGTTAGAGAAACATTCCCAGGTTCCTCAGGTCACTTTATAAACAAGATTAAAGGAGTGTCTTGAATAGATATGGTGCAGACATTGTTACCTCCATCTTCGTAGGAGTAATTTTCTCCATAAGCCTTGGCTCCAGACAAGTCTAGAACATGCTTCTTTCGCTTCTTCTCTTCTAGTAACTCTTTTTCTTGCAATAAGCGAGCTATGTCCTACAAAGACAAAAGGGAATGGAAGTAAATGTCACCAGAGAATGAGTACACGTGGACACTTACAATGGAGTTCAACATTCCACTGCTAAGTTTTTATGAGCTCTGTCCATGACTCTCCAGATTTTCTGGCATTAATTTCATGCAATCCAAATGCCACAGCTGATTGATTGCACAACAGAATTGGCACATGATCGATGAATTAGGCTGGTTTTCATTTGAAATTTAGATTTAACATAATCTGAGGACATTCAAACCTCAGTACTTTCTAAAGTTGGTTATATAACAGAATTTTTGAAATATGTATTTGTGGGCCCCGTTTCCAAGCTGATGATTTGGTAAGTCTGCATACAGTAATCTATAAAACTTCATTAATTATGTTTATAATTTAATTTTTTTAAAGGCTTCTTCATGTGGTTCTGATTTACCTTTGCAGTACAGTGGTACTGTCTTAAATGAAAAAGAGAAAAGAATTTTCTTCCTGTCTGCCATCCGTTTCATCCCCAGGCAAATGTTTAGCAGTTACTAAGTGCGAAGCACCGTGAGAGACAGTGATAAATAACATTCCACACCTGTGCTCCAAAGACTAGAATCCCTTTGTGAAAACAAAAGAGAATACAAATATGACAATAAAGTTAAAGTTAACAATGCTTTAAGAAAGAGTTAAAATGTCTATGAAAAGAAGGGATATTATTTTGTTTGAAAGATTTAATACTAGACTTTGGTTCTGTACAAAGAACTAAATTTCAACAGACCAAGTAAGGAGAGAAAACATCCGCAAAGTTATGAATGTTTTAATGGGCATCAATCTAAGGAATGGCCAATAGTACAATCAAAACACAGATGTACTGTAGAGAAAAGTGAACCTAATAAAACAGTCTAAAGCCAGATCACAGGACACACTTATAGAAAATCTGAAGAAGTCTGGAGTCTATAATGTAGGGGATGAAGGTTTTGAGCTACAGAGTGATAGTGTTCTGAATCTGAGGGTTATTTCTATGAAAGCCTCATGACAGCATGTAAACATTTATGTTCATGTACATTTTTAATGAGAAAAGTCTAGAGTTCTTATCAGATTTGTAAAGCCTCACACAAATACCCCAACAATAGTCATTGGTGCAAATGACAAAAGCAGTCATATGTAGTTTGAGATACTTATTATTTCTACTTATAATAAAGAGATGCTTTAAAGAGAAACTGGAAGAGAAATAATTACTACTTAGGTGAATTTGGGGGGCTTCAATTCTTTCCTTTTTCTGAGACAGAGTCTCACTCTGTCTTCCCAGCTAGAGTGCAGTGGTGTTATCATAGCTCACTGCAACCTGAATTCCTGGGCTCAAATGATCCCCGACTCAGCCTCCTAAGTAGCTGGGACTACAGGAATGTGCCACTGCACGGGGTTAATTTTCCTATTTTCAGCAGAGATGGGGTCTCACTCTTGCTCAGGCTGGTCCTGCTCAAGTTATCCTTCCACCTCAGCCTCCCTGGGTGCTAGGATTGCAGGTGTTAGCCATCATGCCCGGATGGGCTTCAATTCTCTACCTGTATAATGAAAACTTTGAACTATTCAATATTAAAATCAAATGTCTTTGACTTATTAATGCAGCATTTTAATAAATCTGTCAGTGTTTACCAGGTCCTGGTCCCTGGGCCAGATTCATTACCTTTGATGTCTTACAAAGTTTAAGACACGCAGGGTTCCCATGCTGCCCTACAACTCCCTCACATTAATGCCTCTCCCAGAGCCTCACTTCTGTATGTCTTAAATTATTCTAATAGTTTTGCATAAACTAGTAGAACTATTCTTTAAAACTAGTAGAAATTCCCAAATTCTTATACTGTTCATTGAAAAAGTACAAAGAAATGTAAATATTTCTCTGGGCTATAGTGTTTACTAACCACCCAATGGTACGTTTTCCTTAGTGGTTTGGTTTATAGTAAACAAAAATTTCCCCAGCTATAACTGAGGAAAAAATATAAAGGAAAATTAACAGGCCCAACTGCCAGCAGAAATTATTATACTACACTCCAAGGATGAGTAATTGCTTTCTTACTATTGAATTTATTACTAACGAGTACACAGTAAGAAACCACCTTCCCAACATAAGGAATCAAGAAACAAAAATTATACCCCTTCCTTATAACATATAGCTAGTCAAATGAAATGCCTTTCATTAAAACAGAAAAATAATAATAATCATAATACGTTGTGTACTTCAAAGCACCTACACCTTTTTGCTCTTCTAAACTCTTAGCTCTTTTTGAATGAACTTTTAAATGGGTGAAAAGAGAAAGGTTGCTAGGCTTAAGAAGGAAAAGATAAAGAATTCAATGGAAACTGCCACTGTATTAGAGCTAGGCTTCAGCACAAGACAGTTTTCCTACCCACTTTGTAAGGATAACTGTGAAATGAGTTCAGTTAGGTGATTTCAACATAAATTTCCCCTAAAACAAACTAAAGATGGAAATTATTAGTCACAGTACTTGGATATAGCTAACCAGCTTAGTCACCTTTAACAAAACAACCTCCTTGATCCTCAGCTTCCTTCCTGCTAATGGTTAGTCTAGAACAGCATTTCCCCAAAGTCAGCACCGAGGAATACAGGTCTCCAAAAAACCCCACAGCACTCAATAGGAGGCATGTACCAAATTTAGTTCTTTAAAATATACATTAACATTTTTTTTTTAAAAGTGAGGATCTAATTACTTTCTGTAACCTAGAATTTTCCAAATTACTTTATGACAGAAGCCTCTTTTTACATTTAAAAAAAAACTTACAAAATTAATGTCCTACATAACATAACTTAGAACTAAAAGAACTCTCAAGCCCCTTTGAAGTCATTTTAAATTATTTTTTAATCAGATAGACTTACTTTAGGCTAATATGTAAAAATCACCCTGTTCCTTAAAAGCCTTCCTGATAAGCACGTTCACTGGAATGAGAATTCACACTGCACATGTTTCTCACCTCTCTCTTTTCTGTTTCCCAGCTCACCCAACTCTGGAAATTTAAACTATAACCATAAGAAAAGGCACGGCTAAGGATCTCGGAAATGCTTTAAAGAAAATCCATTGTAACAAAAACATAGATTTACTGATTCCTTTTAAGGGGCTACAGACTGTTAGGGAAATGGGATAATGGTCAATATTTCTTAAAGTTCTTACCTATGAAGCCTTAAAAGCAAAATGATTAGCATAATGTGAGATAAAGAAAGACTAGGGCTCCAGCAGAGGCACAGATGAGGGGCAGTGAAGCCCAGAGAGCCCTGCACAGCTTTCCCAAGTAGGTGACAAATTATGGGAACATGGTGTTGGGTTACTTGTTATTTTCCTTATTATTTTAGTAAATCTGTCAGCGTTTACCAGGTGCTGGTCCCTGGGTTCCTTGGGGTATTTTTATGGTTTATAGGCTGAGTATCCCTCATCTGAAGATCCAAAATGCAAAATGCTACAAATCTGAAGCACCACCGACATGATGCTCAAAGAAAAGCTCATTGGAACTTCCTGGACGTCAGACATTCAGATTACAGAGGTGCTACCTATGATTTAGATGAGAGCTACTTCTCCCTTCCAGGGTTTACTTCTATCCTACCATTGTAGTGGGTGTCCAAAAGAGAATCTTGTGTTTAAAAACAACCAAATAGAGATCTACAAATGTGATTATTAAAAGACTATCAGAAAGTGGAAAAAAGGGGGCAGCACCTGTGGCTCAAGGAGTAGGGCACTGGCCCCATATGCCAGAGGTGGTGGGTTCAAACCCAGCCCCGGACAAAAAATAAAAACGCAAAAAAAAAAAACCCCAAAAAACAAAAACAAAAACAAAAGTGGAAAAAAGGAAAATTGTTCCATTAGATTTTTAAACAACTTTATTAACTAGCAATTAAAATATTAACATCTAACTCAGCAGGGAATCTTAAGGTAGGTATGTTCCCAAACATTATTCTTTAACATCAGGAAAACAGGATAATACCAATTCTATTCATGTGAAAATACCAATATACCTGGAATGAGAAGAGAAGAAAAAAATTTTTGCAACCAGAAATCTCCCTCCCACTTCCATTTTTGGTTATATCCTTGTATACTTTTTTTTTTCCTTGAGACAGAATCTTGCTCTGTCACCCAGACTGGAGAGCTGTGGCCTCATGATAGCTCACTGTAATCTCAAACTCTTAGGCTCCTACCTCAGCCTCCTGAGTAGCTGGGACCACAGGAGAATGCCACCAGGCCCAGCTAATTTTTCTATTTTTTGTAGAGGAAGGATCTCAACTCTTGTTCAGATCTCAACTCTCAAATCCCTAGGCCTCCAGAGTGTGAGGATTACAGATGTGAGCTACTGCATCCAGCATATATATGTATAAACTTATTTTTAAAGTGCCTAAACACAGGAAAAATTTTAATAGTAAAAATGTACTGCTTTTTGAGCTGGTCTCTAAATATTATCAGAGAATATATAAATATTTTTTAGAACACAAACTTATAATCCCCTTAAGAGTGTTATGAATAAGGACCATGGTTCACATTAGATTAATTTTTTAATGTAAATTGGTTACTAAGTTTAGCCCTGAGCAGTTCATATTATAAACGGCTTCAAATTGTTGGACTAGTGCCACAAACTTTTCAAGACATGTTTGGGCATGTTAATGTTTACTTAAGAAAAAAAAAAAAGTTTTTTTCCTAAAATAGTTGCACATTCACCTATAGCTTAGAACCTCTGTAAGCTGACCACCCAAAGGACTGTAACAAACTGGTCAACATACAGAGGTGGTCAACATAAGGAACTCGGCCCACTGTGCTGATTCATGCATGTGATGCATGTCTGGTCTTTGAAAATTAGGTCAACGCAGGGAGGTGGTTAATGTAGGGAGCTAGTCAGCTGTGGAGGTTCTGCTGTATTTAATCTGGTTCTAACACATACATGTGTGTATGTCTAAACACACACACATTCACACATACATACTTAGAATTTTATTTAAGAGTAACTAAGTTAAGTTAAATCAACTAAATACACATTCCTTGACTTTTATTAAACAACACTAACAAATGCTTATGCTGCAGTAAGAAAAGATCCCAATAGAATTAAGAATTAATCCACTTTTAGTAATCACAAATTCATACGGTCTGATATCCCTAAAGACCACAAGCCCTTTCAATAGGGAGCCTATAGAGAACTCAACTACTATATTCAAGACATTACATAAAAGAGTTTAACAAATAAAAAGAGCCAGGCATGGCACCTGTAATCCCAGCATTTGTGGGAGGAGTATCTCTTGAGGCCAGGAGTTCAAGACCAGCTTGGGCAATATAGCAAGACCCTGTCTCTACAAACAATTTAAAAATTAGTCAGACAGTGGTATGGGCACCTATAGTCTTAGCTACTAAAGAGACTGAGGTAGGAGGACAGTATAAGCTAAGAAATTTCAAGTTACAGTGAGCTGTGATCATGCCATTGTATTCCAGCCTGGGCAACAGAGTGAGACCTTGTCTCTTAAAAAAATCAATTATAATAAATAATAACAAACAAAATAAATAAAAAGAGAAAAACAAAGGAGAGCGAGATGGAGAGACAATGAATAAGATGACAAAAAAAATTTTTTCTTTTTTAACTTTTCCACATCTGTCTCCTTACTTGGAAATGCTACTTTCTTTACATCTGTGTTCTATTAACAAACACAATAAAATTATACCACAACAAAGTTAGAAATGCTTATTTACCCACACAAAGTTGCACAACTCTACTACTTCTCATCACGCACAATGTTGTCCAGAAAAATAAAAACCAAAATCTTTGTCTCAAGAAAGGGGCCTTGGTCTCTACATCTGGTTATTTGGAGGGGGGTTATAAACAATCCAAGAATGTTAACCTTAAAATCTCTAAAGGAGATTCAGATAAAAATCCAGAAAGGAATTTTCCACAGCCTGCTGCTGAATAAAAACTTATTAAGTGAGCAGACTCCACAGGGACGTGAAAGACAAAAAGGAGTGGAGAGGAAGAATTAGAACAGTTATGTCTAACAAATATACAATGATTTTTCAAAGACTGGTTAGAGGAATCAGCACTATTGTCTCAGTCTTAGTCCCCTCGGCCTTTCAGGCATTCCTGTTTCCAATGGACTAAACAAGCATCATCACAGTCCTTCAGAGGCAAACTCTACCCAAGCACAATTCGTTCATTTAATATTAACAACATTCTAGTCACCTGAGAGTCACATTTTTCTATAATGAAAGAGTATCTGGGCACAGTGGCCATCTTCTCATCTCAAGCATGAGTTAGAAAATCAAAATGTCTGAATAAAGTTTTCAAAGACCATGCTGTTCCAGTCACTAAACCTCCACAACTGGATTTCTTATTTAACTTTTCCACTCTACTGGGGAAAAAGGAACATTTCAGTATTTCAACTAGTAGCTGAGGGCAAGTTCACGGGCGCCTATAAAAACCAAGTAAACACTTGAAGGCCTCTCAAATCACACCATATTAGGACACTTTTGAGCTTGCATAATTTTCCCCTTTCTTAAGTAGCACACATCACTCTATAAGAAAAATCAGCCTTGTTCAAAGGGGCAGAACTGTTGGGAAAACAGTTGGCCAGAAAACAAAAAGAAAAGAGCAATTATACGTCCACATCAGATGCCTCATACATGTGATCTCATTTAAACCTCATGACAGCCCCTTAGGGTAGGCACAACCACCATGACTTGCTCCTTTTGGAACCTCAAGTTCTGCATCACTAGGTAAGATGCTGAAAGTCACACAACGAAAAGTCAAAGTGCTAAACTCCAACCCAGGTCAGTCAGTCAATCTCTGTAGCCCACATGTTTTACGTCTGCCACAGTGTATCTAAGTCAGAAGCAGTCAGAAATCGAACAGACATTTCTCCAGCATCTGACTGTAACTTGGGACCAACTGCTCATTTTTTTTAATGCTTAATTTCAACATCTGAAAAATGGAATCAATACGCTGCTCAATTTATGTAATATTACCATGAGATTAACTATTGTGATTACTATTTAGATTTCACATGCCTAAAATAAAATGTTGTGGCTTTTATTTCTATCCTGCTTTTCTCTAAATGGGGGGAAAAAAACAAAGGACAGCAGCAGCATTTATAAGAAGCCAACTTCATTACTCGGGTATTTTTAAAATGGAAGCTTTCAGTTCCTAGTTTCATCTCCAAAGCAGTCTTTAGTTCAGACAGGCAACATATTATATAGTAAGAAAGAGCTGCCTGTGTTGATTACAGAAAGGATCAAAAATATTCCTTAATCTTACTTGCAATAACCATGGTTTATTTCTTAAAGAAAAATTTAGACTCGTAGCAGGCATCTCACACATCTCTGGCACAGAACAAGAAATCTTCTAGGAAGAGGGTGGCTCAGGGATTAACAGAATACGCAGCCTAGTCTACTGACGACCCTGATCATGTTTACTTAACAGGGTGATCGCAAATGCCAGCTGGCCCTGTACAGTAGCAGTTTATATAATTATTAACAGCATCTCCTTTAACTTTAAAAAGTGTTTCTAGGTCTATAACATAACAAATCATATGGTCACCCTACTATTAAAAATAATAAATCATTTTTTTCCCTTTTATAAATCAAGTCAGTGTTAAGAACAGCATAATAGGTATGAAAGAAATTAAATAGAGAATCACACAAAAGAATTTTTTGAGCCAACAGATTATAGGAAAGTGGAACCATTAAGACAAAGAGAAAAAGTGTGAGGAATGCCAGCTCCTGGACTCTCATAAAGACTATAACCCCAAATTCTGCTAAGGAGTTGCTCATAGGGACTACACCCGAATTCTGCTAAGACTCTGCTCAAGTCCTACTGTCTTTAACACTGCAAGAATAAGCCAGGGACAGATACCTTATAGTTAGCTGCACAGTAACCTCCCCAAAATTCATTTCTACTGACACCCCAGAATGTCACCTTTGGAAATAAGGTCCAGAAAGGTCACAGTGGATTATGGCAGGGCTTCTATCCAATGTACGGTGTCCTTAAAGAAGACCGGAGTGCACAGAGATACTCCCGGGGAAGAAAGCCCCTGTGGCAACTCAGGCAGGGAGGGATACAGCTACAGGCCAAAGACTGCCAGACTGCCAGCCGTCCACCAGGGGCAAGGAGGGCAAGGAAGGAGCCTCCCCGAGAGGCAGCATGACCCTACCAATGATTTTAGACTTCTAGCCTCCAGAACTACGTGAGAGTTTCTGTTGTGTTAAGTCAAGTTTGTGGTTAATTTGTCCCAGTAGTCCTAGGAAACTAATTCAGACAGTGCATCAAGTTATCCATTATCATCTCTCAAGACTTTAGCACTTACGCAAGTGATCAAGAGAAAATAAACAGTGGTCCATGAGGAAAATGCTTAAACTACTGTACCCCAAAGAAGGAGAGTTCTGCTACCCATCCCACAAGCCCTCATGGAGCCCATGAACATAACAGGTATTTGTTCCAGAGTTGAGTACCCCGTCTTCACTGGGTGGAGGGACATGAACTGAGTTGTACCTCATCCTTCTTCTCCTGAATGCGCTGTCTCTCCGCCTCAATAGCCAGCTTCTCCTGAATTTCCTGAGCAATTTCACAGTCTTGCTGTTCACTAAAAAGCAAAGGTAAAAACAACATGAATGATGAAAATAAGGAATAACATTTCCTAAAAATAATAAACATTATTAAATATCCACTTAACAGTACTTAGTCCTCAAGATAAAGATGCAAAGACGGTGATATGTTACTCAGAGATCACAAAGAAAATGAGTGGCAAAACTAAAATCTGGTCCCCACACACTACAATGGAAACAAAAGCTCCATGTGAGACACTCATGTTTTTCCTTGAGATTCCGCAAAGGCAATGTAGACTAGAGATTCACATCCACCAATATCCAAATAGAACATGCACAGAAAAGGTCAGGAATGAGCTCACCAAAATGTCAATTACACTGGGGTCGTATGGAGTGGCGGGCATGAGTTTGAAATGATTTTAATTATTTGTATTTTTTTTCAGTTTCAACAAAGAACACAATGCCAGGCACAATGGCTCATGCCTGTAATCCTAGCACTCTGGGAGGCTAAGGTGGGTACATCACTTGAGCTCAGGAGTTTGTGACCAGCCTGAACAAGAGTGAGACCCCATTTCTAAAAAAAACAGCTGGATTTTATGCAGCACCTGTAGTCCCAGCTACTGAGAAGGGTGAGACAAGTGGATCTCTTGAGCCCAAGAGTTTGAGGTTGCTGTGAACTATGATGCTATGGCACTCAACCCAGGGCAGCTGAGACGCTGTCTCAAAAACACACACACACACACAGAACACCAAAAAAATGATGCTTAAAATGGGGACTAGAGAGTATACAATGTATATTCCTCAAATTTGGTCTCCAGTAGAAGCCTCTCTGGCTAATGCCAGTTTTTTTAATACTCTGGTCACTAAGAAAACCAAAAGTCAGGATACTGTTGCTATCCCAGTTCTTTGGCTTTTGCATTTTTTGTTTGTTTTTGGCATTCGTGCTTCCAACCACAATTTAAACACCATCTGTAACAGGCCAGCATGATGCTCTGATCACTGAGGGTACAAAACAAGTAAACGTCCCTGCTATCCTCACAAGCTCACGAGACAGTCTGGTGAGGAAAACAAGAACAATTAAAACACGTTCCTACAGAAGAGAACATTTCATTCTTTCAGAAACGGATTTAAAATTTGCCCCTAGGTGCACAACTCCTCTTGTTTCACGTTTCAAGGAAAACCAATTTATAACTCTCGAATGCAAGAGCCCCGAGGAGCCAATCTTTTACACAAATGTCGTGAGCTCAGAAAAATGAATAAAAACATACTTAAGAGCTAACTAAGGTGATGCTGGAATAAAATTGCAATTGTGACTTCAATACGCAGTTTATTTGCTAAACACACACACCCTCTCAATCTTCCCCTGCTAGTGACCTTAAAATAGTCAGTCTCAGTCTTGGCTGTGTGTTCTAGATTTACTGACAGGCTTTTGAAATTGAAAAAAGTGGAGAGTAGGAAAACAATATCCTACCTTCTCTAGAGGAAATAAAATCAAAATATTCTATTCCTACCAACCTGGATAAAAATTATTTTAATTTAGGTAAGAAAACGGGCTTTTTGAACATGTTTGGAAATAAGCAGACACAGGTCAGAGGAGATGTGAGCACACAGGCTGGTATGTGTATACGTGAGTATGCATACACCAGGAAAAGAACAAGGGACCACGAGAGAGACAGCACAAGCCAGAACAGAAACACTTTTAAAATCAAATCACTAGACAAGAAGTCTGCAAATCTGATGTCTGGTCTTGTCTCTATCAATGGTAACTGAGAATCATGACTTCTCATGCCATTTCATCAGCTATTAACAGAAAAAACTTTAAACTTAATGACTTCATATTACAGGTCTAACATTCTAGGGTTCTTATTCAAACCAAAGAAATGAAAATAAACAAAAATCTCAGATTTACAGTTCTTCTTTTTATTCACTTATAGCAAGTGAAGATCACTTTTCAAAGACTTCTCTACCTTGAGGTCCCAAATCAAGTGACTACCAACTACATCAAAGATGACAATCAAAGGGACGACAGAGGAACACAGCAGGAAGGTCAACCCAAAGGGAGTGTTACAGTCACAGAAGACACAGAAGATGCATCTCCTCATACAGAAAATGAAGAAGTGAGGTCGCAGCTGAGTTTCATGATTTCAAACCATTATTTCTAGGAAGGATCAGCTCTGGTTCAGTCACCTAATTATAAAGAATCCTGACAAAGCGAAACTGAGAAAGGAGTAGTAAACCATTAGTAGGCCTGACTCTGGACAGCAGCCCCAGAACCCTGACTCAGTAAAAGGCTCCAGTTCTTTAAATATTGCAGCATTGCAGTCTTCCCAGAATACCCAGCTGTCACGATTGTCAAGAAGTAAAGACCAAAAGACTTCCTTTCTAACTTCCTTATTTAAGCCAGGAACACTTTCAAAATCTTGGATTCCCAGGCAGAAACATAGTATCTGCTTCTTCTCTCATTCAGAACCTATTAAATACCACTGTCCAACAACTCCTGATTCACATTTTACAGCAGTTTGTATTAATAATCTCTGAACAACCTCATGATACACAATTACTACCCTAATTCAGAATCTAAAACTTCTGTATTAAGCTGGGAACTGGCCTTCCTAACAGAATTGTGAATAATGTAAAGGATGTAAATTTAGAATTCTAGAACATTCTAGCTTAACTTCTGTGACACTGAGCCTCAAAACATCTCACATCTGTCTCTCTTCTTTGTATCTCTGCTGTCATTACCTTCAAATTTAGGCCTCACATCTGTCTCCTCTCTATGAACTTATCTCTGCCACCACTGTCCCCAATTTAGGCCTCACTATACCTTAATTTCACCAGTGCTCAATAGCTGCCTTCAAACTTGCCCCCCCTCCAAGTCTTTACCCACCTATTCCCCAAAGTGAATCCCAAAATGAAAATCTAAAACTTTTTCAATGGTTCTAATATAAAATCGATGTAACCAACATTCTTTAACATAACTTAGGTAACCCTTTAGGTCCAGTTTTTGGCTACTTTTCTGGCCTCATCACCTACACACGCACACGCTCCTCTTCCTATTCTCCACTCCAGCAATACTGATCTTCTCCCAGCTAACATGAGATTCCAGGTCCTTTTCCCTCCTGTCCTTATGCTTGCTGCTCCTCCGGCTGGGATGATTTTCCCAGGTATCACTGTAAACTCCTACTTAACCCTCAGGTTTCAGGTTAAACCTACCACCTGTCTTATGAAACTTTCCCCAGGCTCTTCTCTCTTCATGGGCACTAAATTTAAGATATAGTTTTCTGCAACTTATGCATATTATCTCCAGCTACATAAGGCTCAGGGTGTTTTCCTGAGACCCTGAAAGGACAGGGTTATGTCTTACTCCTCTGGTCTCCAGTGCCTTTTATGTTGCCAGGTTTAGCATGAAGCAATAAATGTGTTTATTTTTAAAATAAGGAAGCTTAATGAAATAATTAGAGTCCTAAACAGAATGACAAACTCTTCCTCAAAGGCAGCAAAATAACTGGCCTTCCTGTTTTACTAAGCATGACTCTTAATTAAGGGGTTCCTTCATTTCTCCCTGAACCCCATCCTCCTCAACATAGTATCTCATGGTAAGTCTGTCATTACAGATTTAGATTGTTAAGAGCCACTCTTAGACTTTGTACCTCAATGAATCTCCAAATTAAAAAATAAAGAGCCACTCTCGGAGAAGAAATGTACCCTGGGAGTTTTAACATGCTGAGAAGAGTAAAAAGTCATTGTGCTGTAAGGAACCTTAGAAAAGATCATTTATCTATTAAAGGAAGGGGACAGTGAGAGAGAACTTTTGTCGCATGCTGAAGAAATGAAGAGAACTGAGTCTACAATTCAGAACTTTGCAGAACATTCCACTGTCTGTTGAAAAGCAAGGGGCTCGGCTCGGCGCCTGTGGCTCAAGTGGCTAAGGTGCCAGCCACATACACCTAAGGTAGTGGGTTTGAATCCAGCCCAAGCCCGCCAAACAACAATGACGGCTGCAACCAAAAAATGGCCGGGCGTTGTGGCCGGCGCCTGTGGTCCCAGCTACTTGGGAGGCAGAGGCAGGAGACTCGCTTGAGCCCAGGAGTTGGAGGTTGCTATGAGCTGTGATGCCGCAGCACTCCACCCAGGGGGACAGCTTGAGGCTCTGTCTCAAAAAAAGAAAAAAAGAAAAGAAAAGAAAAGCAAGAGGCTTGAGCAAAGTAAGAGCAAGAAAAACAACTAGAAAATAACAAAGGAACCAACTCAACTCAAAGTTGTTCGCTGCCCGTTATTTCACTGGACTCCCACAAACAAAGTATAAAGCAGAGAGAATACAGGTTATTTTCCTCGTGTTATGTATGGGTAAGGAAAATAAAATCAGAGAGGTAGACCAACTGGCTCAAAGTCATACAGCTAAGAGTAATGGATCTCATACCATAGCCCACATGTCCCAAAACCTAGTGTTTCAACAGCAAAGAAAATTTTTCAAAACAAAGGAAACTACTAGATAACCACCGTAGAGTTTGTATTCTAACAGGAAAGGAATCAGAAGGACAGAGGAGTCTGCTTCTCCCCTGCTGTGGGTGCGGTCTCCACACACAGCACCAGCCTTGGCGTTACACACCCCACCCCCAACCCCACCCCAGATCCTCACCGGTCTTTGTAGCGTTTCTGGAGCTGAGCCTGAGCTTTCAGATCTTCCTCTTGGAGCTGCTTAGCCACTCGGAGATCATGCTGGACCAAACGGTTCCGCTGAATGTTTGATGCCAAATGATGCTCGACTGGGACAGAAAAATTGAGGACAGGAATTAAAATGCTTTAGCTTGGTAGAAATAAATTTCATAATAAAAATAAGAGCTTTACCATTAAAAAGAGCTGCACATCCATAACTTTGTTTTATGTTCTCTAGAACACTGTATAATAGGCAGCACAGCAATTATTCTCCCATTCTTCCATTAAGTAGGACAAGGTTAAAAAATTCAGTAATTTGCCTTTCGTCACGTGGCAAAAAAGCAGCAGCACCACGACGTATACACAGACACTGGAAAGCAGGGCCAGGGCCCTTCACATCCCTGCATGTGCTCCCGCTCTATTTATTAACTGTGTTTTTCAATACTTAATTTTTTTTTTTTTTTGCTATGATGACATCTTTATTCCAGCCTTCTGGTGTTCAGAACCATAAGATTCTATTGTCCTAGGCGTCTGTTTGTGGTATTTTTTTTTTTCAAATATTAATATGAGGGAACAAATTTTTAGGTTACATTGTTCTCACATCCAAGGTAAAGTTCATGTTGCAGGACACTTAATTTTTCTAGTGACATATGAATTAATGATTCACAAGTCACATACTCACAGGAAAATACTTTTAGATAACAATATAATCTAGATTTACTTTCCATCAGTACATTGCATAAATATTCAGTAAGCCAAAATGTGACCTAATTTAGATACCAGGGTTGCTGGGGAGAGATGTTCAGGTCCCTACTCTAGGGACAGGAAAAGATTCCTATGTCAGCCTTCTACGTACCCCAGATATATCCACAGCAACCGTCTCCCTCCTACAACACTAAGGCAAGGGCTAAGGTCAAGCCTGTCTTACATATCCAGCAGTCTGGAAATCTCTGATTTCCGCTTGTCTTACTTCAAAACATTCTTCACCTAGGGATTATCTGCCTAGACAAATACTTCAGGACTGTCAGTGAGAGCCAGGTGACTGTGCTCTCTCCTTACCTCACCCTAAGAAATCAGCATCAAGCGACTACTAAAAATAGAAAACTGAAGAACATGAATGGGGTTATTACTCACTCTCCTGTTCCTGCAGGTTGTGGGCCAAGGTGTGGTCCTCCAGCACAGCAAAATCTCGGCAGACTGCAAAGGATGAGGGAGGAACAGACAGGAAGATTCATTAGTAATACTGTAACACACAAAGAAAAGAATTTTGTTTACTTCATAAATCAATCCTAATATCTCAGGATGGTCACTGTTATAAACTCGCAATGCATAAAACAGTAACTATTATAGTTCAGTATGAAACCTTCATTCACAAAAATCAACATAATTACTGCTCAGTGCCACACACAGAGTCCCACAATACAATTGTTAGATCAGGCCCCTGCACTAAGAGTCATCCTTAGTTCTATTTACCACAGACTCAGAAACCAGAAGCCCAGAAATCCTGATACAAATGGAGGGAAAGTATTGCCCGAATAACAGAAGAGTCACGCCTTGCATAGTGCTGCTGAGTTCTCACGTGTTCAGAGGAGTTAAACCAGGCCTACGTCTCAGCCAGCTGTGGTCTGCAATACCCTCTGCCAGCAATTTCTGCCTATCTTCGAGTCCATAAGGAAAAACAGACCTTCACTAGTCCCTCAAGTAGGAGCAGATCTCTCCTCTATGAGGAATAATCACACTATTTAACGGGTCTGATTCCCTGGAACATGAGTTAGAACTAGGTCTCCAGGTCTCTCAAAACCTAGGATTTCCCCCAAATAATCTAAAAACCTAAGAAAATGGGAACCTAGAAGAAACCAGGAACCTGCCCCTAACTTTGTCTCTATCGGGAGATGTGGGCAAGGACGTCTGCGGCCTGTTTTCTTAGAAGCAGAATGAAAAGACATGGTCTCCAAGGTCCACTTTACCTCAAACTGCAATTTAAACTCCTGCGTTTTAAAAGAAACATACAAACTAAACGAAACCTGAAGGACTCATTATGAAAAATGCTGTTTTAAGGACATGAGTTTAGGTGACTTGTCTTCACTGTATTCCGAACATGTAATTCACGTTAAAAAGGAAAACTCCCAAAGGCCTCAGAAGACCGCAGCAGGTGAGGCTCAGGAAAGGTCCCCTGGGGCTTATGAAACATTACAGACTGCCTCCTGCAGCTCTGGATGTTCCTGTGAGGACCTTCAATTGCAACAAAAAGAAGAACACTACTTGGTCACTGTCAGCATCTAGGTATGTTCACACGGACAAGCACAATCCTGTCCCTCCCTGAAGACAAGGCAAGGAAAGAGGGAGGGAGATCTTGGAGATTTTATGACAGATGAATAATTCCTGCCCAACAACCACAGTGAACTGAATGGGACCTCCTTAGTCCTTTCTCAAATGCAATTGCAAAACCAGTATTTTTAACAGAAAGTCTTGTTTGTTTCATCAGCTATATTCTCAACAAATTTGAACAGCTTGAGGCCCAGGTCCTAGTTAACCTATATTTCACAGGATGAAAGTTAGTGAGGTAATACCCTCAATTCGATAGGTGAGGAAACAGAGGACCAGAAGGCAGAAATTACTGAGGCTGTGTGGAGTTAATCAGTGATAGGGCTGGGGGATGGGGATCAATACCTGAGCCAGAGAGGGCTCTTTCCTTCCCGGACACTACCACACTCCTTGCCTCTAGGCAAACCACATTTACAATGGACGGAAAGAAGGTATTCTATACTGACCAACACGTACTCTCTAAACACTTCAATTAATTAATATCTCATTTTTAAATGGATTTAATTTACAAAAAATATACAGAAAGAATTAGCCAAAATGAATATAATCAAATCTCATGCAAAACAATGTTATTTTAATACACTTAATATTTGAAGCATCTTTAAATTAGAAAAACTTATATTTGTATGTTAAAATACCAATTTTAGATTATGATGTTATTTTTTAGATTAATCTCAGATTAATGTTTTTCAAATCATAGGTGACAACTTACTATTATGTTAAAAAATCAATTTACTAAATCTGAGATAAGCATTTTAAAAATGAACAGGCTAGAAAATAACAGTACACTTGGCCTTCCATATCTAGGGGTTCCACACCACAGATTCAACCAACCATACAACAAAAATATTCCCCCCCAAACTGTAGCTATACTAAACAAGTATAGATTTTTCTTCTTCTTCTTCTTGAGATAGTCTCACTTTGTCACCCTGGGTAGAGTGCTGTGGCATCACAGCTTTTAGCAACCTCCAGCTCTTAGGCTTAGGCGATTCTCTTGCCTCAGCCTCCCAAGCAGCTGGGGCAACAGACGCCCGCCACAACACCTGGCTATTTTTTCTTTTTTGCAGTTTGGCGGGGGCTGGTGCCCCACTCACTGAGCCACAGGTGCCGCCCTTCTTTATTCTCTAAACAATACGATAGCTATTTACTAGCACTTGTATTAAGTATTATAACAATGTAGAGATGATTCAGAGTATATGGAAGGATATGCACAGGTTATATGCAAATACTTCACTATTTTACATCAGGGGCTTGAACATTTGCAGATTGCAATATCCTGGGGGATGGGCATCTGTGTCCTGGACCTAGTTCCCCATGGATGTGGAGGGACAACGGTATATCACATGGAGTATAGAAGACTGCTTTGGAGAAACCTTATTTTTCAGTATTAATATATACACACAGTGCATAAATATGCACACACGTAAATGATATGTAGTAGGTCAAATGCAAAATATATAATATTCTGTGACTTATAATCAAAAAAGTTTTATATTTTGTTTTTTTAATTAATCTCAATAGATTGTACCCATGATTCGAAAAACATTATTAGATTAAAAAATCAATTTACTAAGTTTAAGACAAGCATTTTTTATTTTTTTTATTTTTTTATTTTTTTTGAGACAAAGCCTCACGCTATCCCCCTGGGTAGAGTGCCATGGCTTCACTGCTCACAGCAACCTCCAACTCCTGGGTTCAAGCGAGTCTCCTGCCTCAGCCTCCCAAGTAGCTGGGACCACGGCGCCCGCCACAATGCCGGGCTATTTTGTGGTTGCAGCCATTGTTGTTGTTTGGCGGCCCAGACTGGATTCAAACCCGCCACCTTAGGTCTATGTGGCTGGTGCCTTAGCCCAGGCACCGAGCCAAGACAAGCATTTTTTAAATGACAAGAATAGAAAACAACAGTATAGTTGGCCTGCACTGTTATGCCAAAACGCATTTTATGTTTTTAATGTCATACTAAGTAAAATTAAAATAATTATACAATTACTACATTTTTTCACATAGAGAACTGTGAAGAACTACAATAATTTTATATTTTTTACTTCAGTCAGCACATTAAAAACATAAAATACATTGTTTATGGGCAGACAGGTTTATGTGGCCCTGACACAAACTAAACCGAGAACAGTGGTTATTGCTAGAGATGGAAGAAAAGGGGCCTGAGAGCTTTAGCTATAGATGCGAGTCTACTGCTTCAAAAACAAAAAGGGACATGCAACTAAGACAAGATACTAACACGGATTTAATGTGGGTGGTATGTTCCTGGCTGTCTCTATTTCCTATGTTTATTGTAATGCTTTAAATATTACATTTTAAGTTAGATAATATACAATTTGTTTAAAATTCCCTTACTTTATGTTGTCAATAGCATATATTACTAAAACCACAAATATGATGACATGGTTTGACGTAACATGCATGAAGAATTTATGAATTACTGATTATCATAATGATTCCTCATAATGATTTCTTAATATCTAAACACCGAGACTGAGGTATATGCATGTATCGCAACTTAATTCTGAATCTTCTCACTGCCGAGGCAGAATTGGTACCCACCAGATATGTTCAATGACTATTAGGAAGAACACATATTTATACAGATAAAGAGGTGTACTGTCAGGTACACTGAATTAGCCCTTCAGCGTTTACTAAGAGTTTCCAAATATATAATCTCATGTCTTTTTTTTTTTTTTTTGGCTGTGGCTGGGTTTGAACCCGCCACCTCCGGCATATGGGGATGGCGCTCTACCCTCTCAAAGAGCCACAGGTGCCGTCCCCAAATATATAATCTCATTCATGATGAAATACCATTTTCCCAATCTATAATTTCTTATGCAACCTGCAAATTACATAGCCAGTCACCTTTGTAAATCAGTAACTAGATCAGGAATTCCAGGAAACACTGCACAGCCAGGCCAAGTTCAGAGCCTGGACAGGACTTTGCTCCTTCTCTAGCCTACTCCACTTTAACAGTATAAACAGTATACTGAGGATAAACAACATCAACTCACCTCACCACACTTAATAGACTACAATGTAAACATAACTTTTATTGCAGTAGGAAAATAAAATTCATGTGACTCACTGTATTGTGATACTTGTTTTATTGTGATGGTCTGGAACCAAATCTGCAATACTTTTGAAGTTTTCCTGCATTTGGGTTGACACAGCATTAAAGCTCTTTTAACCACTTATCAAACTTTTTCTTCTCCACGTTCACTTTCATTCTCCCAGAATTCAGACTAATCTCCTTGACATAAGCCAACCCATCAATGTTGTCTACTGTTCCTAGCCTGCTACTAAAATGAATTTCCTCACCATAGCCAATTCCACAATTATTCTCCTTTGTTCCTACCTAGACCCTGCTCAGACATTATCCCAAAGATAGTGGTTAAGTCTCTATGAATGCTACGAACTACGCTACTCCACCAATTTGTTTAGGAAAGTATTAACAGAAAGAAATGCACTTTCCCCTTAAACTTGAATACACAGCAGCCTCTTTTGCTGAAAAATTAATAAATTGCTTTTTCCTTTTTCTCAAAGCACTTATCCTCATTCTTCTGATGTGGCCTCAGGGACAAGTATCAAGCTTTCGGTAGTACTACTGCTAAAAATTTCTAACAATCATGGGAGGCATTAGCAAATTATAATTTTTGCTGATGGAGGGTATTGTCTACTTGTTGACAGCAGCTCACCGATCAGAGGGGTAGTTGTTGAAGGCTGGAGTTGGAATTTCTTAAAATTAGAAAACAATTAATCAATTGAGCCTTCCTTTCATAAAAGATTTGTCTGTAGTATGTGATATACATTGTTTCATAGCATTTTATCCAGAGAACTTCCTTCAAAACTCAAGTTAATCCCCTCAA